TAGGTTATTAATTTAGTAGTACTATACAGTTGTTACTTATTATTCATGTATATTTTGATTAACGTCTGTTGTGTTAACTTATAAATAAATAAATAAAGCATCATAACTTACGAGGCCATTACCATAAAAATAACAGTTATCATTAGCATTGGAGGCAAAACATCAATTTAGAATTATTTAGCAGGATTGCCATTTGTAAATGTACATTTAAGCAAAATATATTTTAATACCTTCTTTACAATAAACGATAATACCTTCTTTTATTTATCCTTCTAAGAGATCAATCAGTTCCCCTGTACTCAAAATAAAGAAGCAATCTGATTCTCTGCAAAGTTTCATATCTGAATTTCCTAATCAATATCTGATATGATAATGTTTATTACACGAATTATCATATAATTTACTAAAATAAAGTCCCACTTGGATATAAGTAGTAGCTTATTTTACTCTAGACATATAGTTTCTTTTAACATAATATTAAATTATTATTTTTGTATTGTTATAAAACAAAACATTAAATAAAAATACTGGACATTGTTATGGTAGTCTAATTTTAATGTTTATATTTTAGTTTAAGAACCTTCCAAAGAATTGAGATACTACAGATGTTTAATAATATTTACATGTGAATAAATTATACCAACTAAGTGTGTGTGATTATTACTGATTATAAGGAATGTTATATTATGGCAACATGCTCCTAAGGGTTTTAAAACTGTATACCACCAAATACTTTATTTTCGTAATAGTATATTGTTATGGGTGACCAATCACCATAATCTTAATTAAACTATTAATATCACTCGATAATTGAAATGTTTTGATATACATAAAACGTTCCCATATTTATCATGGCAACTAATGTATTTTTAAGCTAATTGACAATCAATATTATATCGACAGAAGCTGTCATTACTACTTAATTCTTAAAGTTAAACAATAAATTCCTGGTACGATCCCACGATTCCATTTAACATAAACATTAAAGCCATGCTTATAAAAATGAGGAACACAGGCCACCGAGCAGCATATTGTATCCAACCGCGGTTGGATCTGTTCATTAGGTTAAGTTTATTTAATAGTTTTCAGTATTAAATTATAAAAATTTTTTTTTTAATACTTTCCGAGACCGAAACTTGACTGGCGCAGCCGGTAGGATTCCGCGTCGCGAATTTTACGTCGAATCCAAAAGTCGATAGAACGCGTAAACTCTGCGGCTGGCGTTTTCAAACGTCACAACGGTGGAATCCACGAACAAATAAATAAGTCAAATCGGTGAAAAACTGCAAATAACAAGAAATGGGTTGGAGTAACTGGTGAGTAAACCTCTTCACTTGTTTTCCTCAGAAATCCATTTTCCCTAGCGTTTTCCTTGTTAAAAATCGCAAGAACGAACGTTATTTTTCTGCCCGTATAACTTCAAAATCAAGTTTACGTTGGCTATTTATTAGATAAGATTAGAAATATAATAAATTTTCATGTGTCTGCCCGTATTACTTTAAAATCAGGTTTACGTTGGCTTTTCATTAAAATAAGTATACTTTTAAAAAAATTTAACAAATATTTAGATTTTATTATTGTATTTTACTTGTTTTTATATTTTTGTGTGTGTTGAAATTATAAGAAAGATGGAACAAATACAAACGTTACCGTCTGAAATGATTGCGATTATTCCTAAATTTGAAGGAGATGGCAAGGTTTTAAATTTATTTATAAAAAAGTGTGAATATATTTTACAAAATTTTAGAAATCCAGACGCAAGTCCTGCTCAGGATTTGTATTTGTTTCATTGTATAACTAGTAGACTTATTGGTCGTGCAGCCGCTTTATTAAGCGAGCGTGATGATATATTTACGTGGGAAGATTTAAAACGAGTGTTAACTCAGCATTTTGGAGATCCGCGATCCGAACAATGTATTTCAATAGAATTAGACACTTTGAAATTAAAGCCTAACGAAAGTTTTACTGATTTTTGCCACAGAATACAAAATGTGCGTAGTGCATTATTTTCTAAAGTAAATTTAATTCATGATCAAGGAATTAGGGCCGCTAAAATGATTATTTATAATAAATCAGCATTGAACACTTTTCTTTATAATTTACCTGAAGATATGATAAGAATTATCCGATTAAAGGGTTGTGTTACATTAGAGGATGCTTTAGCAGTAGTTACGGAAGAAGAGAATTTCCAACTACAATATAATCTGAAAAATAAATCAAAGATTAGCGCACCTAAGCCGCCGATACCATTTGTTCAATCATTTAAACCTAATTTTATTCCTAATTTAATGACTAATACAAACAACATATTCCAAACTAATAATTTCAAACAGCCATATAATCAAAGTCCTAACTTTAAATTTGGAATTCAAAACATGCCAAAACCAATACAAAATAATTTTAAATTCGGAATCCCAAACCAAAACGTGAATAGATCGCCGAACCCTTATTTTAATAATATAAACCAACAAAATAATAAACCATATTTTCATAACTTCAGATATCCTATTAACAATCAATTTAAGTTCGGTATTCCAAATGCGTTACAAACACCTCGCCCAGTGCAAAATACGGATGTTTCTATGCGTAGCGTGGCACCAATTAAACAAAATATGCTCAAAGAATCAGAAAACTTAAGCGAAAACTCTCATGAATCCCCTTCTTATGAAACAAATTATTGCAAAGAAGAACAGTTTTTCTCAGAAACTCCCTACGAAAATAGCGAAGTACAGTACGATTCAGAATACCCCGATAATGAATATGAAAATCAAAATTTTTATATAAAGGCCTCGGACAGAGAAATCACGAAATAGTAAAAATAAATTATAATTCAACTATGCGTTTACCGCATATGGAAATACCAGAAATTAAAGCAAAATTTTTAATTGATACAGGAAGTACTAGATCATTTATTAGCCCGGAATTGGTGGAAAAATATTTTCTTGATTATAAATATCAAGAACCCTTTGAAGTCATAAGTACACATGCCCGTAGCTCACACAACGAAGTTATTGAAATACCTATGTTAAAAACCTTTAAAACCTCTGGAATCCAAAAATTTTACGTTTACACAGTGGACAGTAAATATGATGGTTTAATTGGTAGCGATTTATTAATCCAATTAAATGCTAATATTGATTTAAAAAATAAATCATTAAAAACTCATAACACAGTAATTCCTATTTTATATCAACCTCCTTACGAAATTCACCTTTCGCCGCGTTCTGAAACCCGTGTAAAAATACCAACCACGGGCAGTAATCTTCATAGAAAAAATGTTAACCTTATGTCTATGGTTCACATATCGTAAATGACAGTTCTTTTTCCCCTCCTCCTCTACTTCTTTCCCCTTTCTTATCTGTTGTAAACCAAAGACAAACTGTCATTACAGTTTCGAATTTGTTTGAGTGAAGTTTTGCGTTGATTTGTTTCCGTAACTTATCCTCCAATTTCTGAAGCTGTAATAACATCTTGCACCATGTACAATAAGTGCTGTGTTGTGAATTGTGTTAGTAGGCGAAAGGACCTCAATTTTCATAAGTTTCCAAAATCTGAGATAGGACTCCAAAAGTGGTTACAAAGTATTAACTGTGAAAAACTGCGTAGCTTGAGCTTCCAGCAGCTTCAAAAACAATTTGTGTGTCAAAAGCATTTTTAAAAACGATTTCTCGCACCGACACGTGATAGAGCTCGACTGCGGCCTGATGCCGTCCCCACGTTATTTACTGCTAACGAGATATCCAGTGGTGTTCCTCAATCCAGCATTGTCACCCCGGAATCAAACAAGTACGTATAAGTTTTGTCATTTACATTTATATAGTACAGTAGAATCCCGATTATCTGGACACATTCATTTTAGCTTTAATTATCAGCAATAAAGTTTTTTTGAAGATACAACGAGACATGTTATGAAATGTTTATTTCTCCGACCGTGATTGTGATCGTCCGATCCGATTGTGTACTTCAGCTGTCATTTATTTGCAATATAGTGTTTGTATTGTTTAATTTTTTTGATCTGTAATACGGGTCTTAAAAACCTACACAGGCACCAGTCTCCCACATGTGACCTAATTTCTAAATATACTGTTAGTGTCTTTTTTTTTATATTGTATCATTGGTGGTGAGAAATAAATTATTTCGTTATTATTATAGCATTCAATTGATAGATTGTCATTTTCGCATCTATAACATCTCACACAAAGCTTCTGAACCTCTATGTGTTGTTTTGAAAGACACGATAAATCATATCCCAATCAGTTACAACTAAACCACATCAGAGACGGCCAGAATGAAAAGACATGACTCATTACATCCAAGCATAATTATACATTACATAGGTATTTGTCTAATTCATTACTGATACAGCTTGTTTTTAAATATTGTATCATCTAAGCAATCTGTTTATTTTTTTAAATCTAAATACCTTAACTGACACCTTTTTCCATCTAACAACAACTGTCAATCTAGATAGACCTTATTGTGTTATGTATTGCTGTCTATTTTGTCCTTTGTAACAAAGAAAACAATATAATTTATTATATTTATACTTTAAATTTTCAGGCTGTGTTCATAGTGATCATAATTATATTAAGAAACGATTGCACTTTGATCATAACTATTGCAAACCTGAAGTTATCGAGAAACGGCCAAGAATTAATATTGGTAAGTTTTTTTTTCTTTTTTCTCTTTTCCTCTCTCAACCAGCCCATTTCTTCATTATTTAAAAAAAATGAGTTGAGTGATTGTTAAAGATACTCTCAAACGTAAACTTGACTAACAAAATTGTTATCGTTAGTAACACTCTGTGTATATTTTTAGTATATTTTACCCGATGTAGTGACTTTTGACCCTAATTCAATTTAATTGCCTGTTTCTAAATAAATTTTACTTTAAGATCTTTTATTATTATCTGTAGTGATTTTGTGTATTTATTCAGAAAATATATATAAATAATAACAATTTAATAGATAAGATATATAAATAGATTTTCTTTAAACAATATGTTTCTTTGTTTTGCAACAGATATACCATCTGCATCTTATGCTGTGGAGAAAATTCCTGTGGCTAACATTGCAGGTAAAAATATTACTTATTTTTAATTAAATTACCTAATAATAATATATATTTTTTTATGAGATTTAATTTGTAAAACCTTGGCCCTTATTCGTAAAACCTTACTTTCTGCACTCTTATCTTAAATAACTATTAAAGTTTATAAGTAAATTTTATATCTTAGATTTTATTTTGATATTCAGATGCTGTACCAATAAACGTTACACCAAGAAGACATACAAGGAGACGTTTGTTTCAAAAGTTAAAATCTTTAACACCAAATTGTCATCGAATTTATAAGGAATACTGTAAATCGAGGAAGCAATTAGATTTCAGTCGAAGAGCAAGAAGAGCCATGAAATTTAATGCTGATAATTCATTTGATAAGCTGACACAGGCAATGAACCCCTTAGCAAAAAAAAATATTTGGATGCAAGTAAAGCTGTACTAAACATGTACATGTAAAGATGTACTAAACAAAGCAAAGGTCGAAGATTCACATTAGAGGAGAAGATTATTGGGCTCTCTATTATGAAACAAAGCCCGAAATGCTATAAATTTCTCCAAAAAATTTTTATATTGCCATCAAAAACCACTCTAAACAAAATGGTATCAAATTTGAATATTGAAGCCGGTATTAATCCTCAAATATTTCAAGCCATAAAGGAAGAGGTATGCATGTGTTATCAATATAATAATTTAGTCATAATCTTTTAAACTTTTATCAGAATATAAATATCAGAAAATTTTATATATATATATATATATATATATATATTGACCTGGCTTTTCTGTAACTTCTGAGGACCAATGAAATAAATTGTTGTAACTCATTTTTATAAATCACTAATCCTTAGTCCATTGCTATATATATTTTAAATTAAAATGAAATCACTGTCTTGCTTTTGCTTACTGAATATAAAATAACAGTTTATCTGTACAAAATCAAGTCCCAAAATGCAGCTCAGTGGAGATTGCCTATATTGACATTTCAAAATTAATAGCAAATATGAATAAGGGATTTTGTTTGTCAATTCGAATAGGCTAGCTGAACCAAACCTACTTGCATAAGTTTTGTTAAAGTTCTTATACTACTCTAGTATCAGAATCATTCAAAGTATCAAAAATGAAAATATATAATTAAAAAGATACATATACCCAGAATGTCTTAATATTTGTAAACTTTTATTGAGTAATGATGTATTTTACCCATTTTATGTATTGATTACTTTTCAATTTAACCATTGTTTTAATATCAGGTTGACACTTGGGAGCAAAACAAAAAATACTGCACCATAATATTTGATGAAGTGGCATTGGAGGCAGGGCTACAATATAATAAACACAAAGACACAATTACTGGTTTGGTTGAGGTGGATGATATAAAAACCAATGACTTTGCAGATCATGCACTAGTGTTTATGATAAGAGGAGCACTTTATAAGTGGCAGCAACCTGTAGCCTATTACTTTTGTAAAGGTGCTACATCTGGTGTGCAATTAAAAACTATCATCAAACAAATTGTATCTGCTGTGAGTGATTCTGGGCTTGCACCAGTAGCCCTTGTTAGTGACCAAGGCACAGCATTCCGCTCTGCTTTAAAGTCACTACAAGAAGATACAAGACGAGAGCAATTACGAGCTGGTGATCTAGTAATCAGTAAGTATGCTAAATAATACTAAATAATAATAATTTAAATTGCCTGTATTTAAATTTAATAATTAAATTAATATGATATTTGCATGCTAGTGTAATAGCTAAGTGAGCTGAACTATAATTGTCTTTCCTTCTTTTATTATACCTCATTTAATAGAAAATAAACTATTACTATACTATATGTAAACCTCATAGTATCGTCGAACTTTGTCTTCTATAGCAACAAATGTTTGATTAAAATTTAAAAATATTAATAATGTTTAGTTGCATTTTAGTAACTTAACAATTTAATATTAGTTTTTTTATTATGTTTGATAAATTTTGCATTCACAATTTTTTAGATTGCTGATTTTTTTTTTCAGATGATGTCATTATTCTTAAGGATCACACTCTAAGTGTCATATTCGACCCACCTCATCTTCTTAAGGGATTAAGAAATAACTTTTTAACAAAAAATATTACATTTGAAGGAAAAATTTCGAAACGGGATGACATAGTGGAAATATACAAAAGGGATTGTAATCATGCTCAAATGAGGCTACTGCCAAAACTAAATGATGAACATGTTATACCTGAAAAAATTAAAAAGATGAAGGTGATTTTATGAATTCAATTTAAGTCCTATATTATTTAACTGCATAAATTCACTATGAATTCTCTATAAAAATAATGTATCTTTCTAGGTAAAAAACTGTGCACGCATGTTCAGCAAGTCAGTAGCAGCAACATTGACTTATACTTCAGAATTTGGTATGCTATATAATTTTTTCATTGTAAAAAAAGAAATTTCCTTTGTCTACAAATCGGAAAAAAAAGACTTACTTATATTAAATAGCTCTTATTGTTTTAGCCCAATATGCTGACGGAACAAAAGTTAGTGCAACATTAAAAAATACCGCTGAGATTGTACACTTCTTCGATGACTTATTCGACTCTGTGAATGGAGCTGCTAAGTGTAGCAAATCGTCAAAGGGGAAACCTTTACGGAAAGCTGTAACAGCAAATAGTCCACACCATGAGTTTTGGAAAGAAGCAATAGAAAAGTTAAAAAAAAATAAATTTATAGATATCAATGGCAAAGAGACTGTTGTACCCTCATTAAAAAACTGGATTACAACTATAGAAAGTTACCAAAGGGTGTGGCAATTTTTAAAAAGTAAAAATATTAAAGTTATGCGGCCAAGATATTTTAATTCTGACCCAATAGAAAATTTTTTCGGTCAGGTCAGGGCCTATAATTTTAGAAACAATGATCCAGATTGCCACACCTTCAATTGCACTTTTAAATCACTGCTAATCACAAGATTTATAAAATTCCACTCAGGATCTTTTAATTGTGAGGATGATGCAGGCGATCAGCTATTAAAAATTAAATCTTTGTTTCGAACAAATGTCCCTAATGAAGATCGAATTGACAAACCAAAGCAAGAAAATCAGAGCAAACAAGCAAACTTTGACCCAGAAAATCTTTTATTAAGTATAAGAGAAGAAAGATTGAATGTTCATTCAAGGGCATATACTGCAGGGTGGGTTGTTCGAAAAATATTAAATAGAGTAAAATGTGAATTATGTGAAAAAAATTTAACAAGTGAAGTTGAAGAACCCATCCACAAGTGGATTAGTTTTCGTGAATTCACGTCAATAAAAAAAAGGAAATTGTCCTACCCCTCAGAACATGCTCTGAGATTATTCTCAAAAATAATTGAGGAATCAAATAAATACCTGGAACATGAACCACATCAAAATAACGTATTAGTTAATATAAAAAATGCTGTCATGTCTGGGTATTTATTTGATTTCTTAGAATGTGATGAACATAAAAATAGTGTTTTAAATTATTTTCTGGGTTTTGCAAGTAGATTAGCAGTGTTTAATTGGTGCAATATAATTAATAAGATTTTAAAGGGTACAGATGTCATTCGATTAGAAAATAAAAATTTGCCACCTATGCAATACAAAGCCTTATTAAAGTACAAAACTAAATTGAAAAATAAAAAAAAATATTAATGAATGTTATGCTTTTTATTTATTTGACCTGAAAATAAAAACAAAATATTATTTATAATTGAGGTTATACTGAGCGGGAGTAGCGTTGCTCAACGGCAAAAACTATGAAACCCAAGCCCTTTTTGCATTATTAAAAAAAAATTAAGTATTAGATTTAATAAAAAGTTGTCAAAATGTATAAATGAGGTCTATTAGGTCTAGAATCGTTGTTTGGAAGATGTTCGTCTGAGACCTATGTAGTTTGTGATACCAACCGATCAAACGGAAGGCGAAGCAATTATTAACTTTATAGATTTTGGGAAAGGCGTACGAATGCCTAGTGCTTTAATTACCTGTAAGGAAAACCTTTCAGAAACAATTATTCAAAATACTTCAAACGAACATATTATAATCTGTGTAAATAAGCCTTTTAGAGTGCAAAAATACATTCCTAACTTTATATCGTTGAACCATACTATTTTACAAGAAAATAATGTCGATGTGGATTACTTATTACGTCAAAACTTAAACAAGTTACGGCTAGATCACACAAATAGCGAAGAAAGACACGCTATTGAACAGCTATGTTTAGAATATAGGGATATATTTTATTGCGATAAATTTCCTTTGACATTTACTAATGAAGTAAAACATCAAATACGTACCAAAAATTAAGACCCAATTTATGTCAAGCCTTACAGATTACCCCCCATACAAAATGAAGAAATAAATAAACAAGTTCAAAATTTACTTTGTGAAAATGTTATTAAAGAATCACATTCCCCTTGGAATGCCCCAGTGCATTTAGTGCCAAAAAAAATTGATGCATCAGGCGAACAAAAGTACCGCATGGTAATCGACTATCGCCGCCTTAACGAGATAACTATCGACGATAAATATCCTCTTCCTAACATAACAGATCTTTTCGATAAGCTAGGAAAATCTACTTATTTTACAACCTTAGATTTAGCTAGTGGTTACCATCAATTGGAAATTGAAAGGTCAGATCAACCTAAGACAGCCTTTAGCACACAAACAGGACATTACGAATTCATTAGAATGCCGTTCGGTTTAAGGACAGCACCGGCAACGTTTCAAAGAGCAATGGATAACGTATTACGAGGGTTACAAGGTCTACATTGCCTGGTCTACTTAAACGATATTATTATATATGGTTCTAGTTTAAATGAACATTTACAAAATATAAGAAGCGTTTTTAATAGATTACGACAAAATAATTTAAAGGTACAACTTGATAAATCGGAATTTTTACGAAAAGAGGTTTTATATTTAGGTCATACTATTACAAAGGAAGGATTAAAACCTAATAATGACAAAATAAAAACTATTTTAGATTTTCCTATACCTAAAACAACCACGGAAATTAAAAGCTTTTTAGGAATGGTCGGTTATTATCGAAAATTCATTAAAGATTTTGCAAAATTAACCCAGCCTCTTACAAACTGTTTAAAAAAAAAAAAATTATTATTGACGAAAAATATAAACAAGCATTTTATCAGTGTAAAGAGATTTTAACAAATGCACCCTTACTACAGTTTCCTGAATTTGATAAACCTTTTGTTCTAACGACAGACGCCTCAAATTATGCAATCGGTGCTGTGTTGTCTCAAGGTCCCGTAGGTAGCGATAAAAAAGGAAATATTAGCTATAGTTTGGGCGGTAAAACACTTTCGTCCTTACCTATATGGTAGAAAATTTATTATTTATACAGACCATAGACCATTAGCATGGCTAAACTCAATTAAAGAACCCAATAGTAAGCTTACAAGATGGAAGTTACGCTTATCAGAATTCGATTACGATATTTATTATAAGAATGGAAAACAAAATAGTGTAGCCGACGCATTGTCTCGAATTAAAGTAAATGCATTAGAAAATATATCTATGATAGGAAATCCGAGTGGTTCTAACCGTTCGCGATCTCGTTCAAATTCACTAGATTCTGTAAGTATAATGACCATATCATCCGATTCTAATAAATCAATTCAACAAAATAAAAGAAAATCGCCTTACTCAATTTTAACTTCTAGCACAGGTAGTACATTATCAGCCCCTGAAACGCCTAGAAATACTTACTCGGATACAGTACATTCCGCTCAAGATGTCGAAACAAATGGCATACCTATATTAAATGAAGCCATTGATACGAAACCAAATCAATTTTTAATATTCACTTGGAATAAAAATGAAATATTAGTTAAAAATTTATCCCGACCTAAACAGCGAGTTTTAGAAGTACATTTACCGACTAATCGCCCCGATTTAGTAAAAACATTTTTAAAAGAGTACACTAAACCCAAAATAAAACAATTTATATATTTCGAACATGAGACTCATAGGTCACAGTTTGTTAACGCAGTTACGCAGCCCTATATAAAAAGGATACCGTTCAATTTCTCGAATGTACACAGCGAGTAGTTTACGTAGAAGATGAAAATGAACAAAAAGAAATTATCATGAAGTATCATAAAGGAAAAACTTGTCATAGAGGTATTCGTGAAACTACTTTAAAATTAAAGCGCACATATTTTTGGAATAACTTAGAACAAACAGTTGCTAGTGTAATAAATTCATGTGACGTATGCAAAAAAATGAAATATGACCGAAAACCATTCAAACCGGAATTACAACTAACTCAAACTCAGACAAAACCGTTTCAAGAATTGTTTATTGATATATTTAGTATTGACGGAAAATATTACTTAACCATAATAGATGCCTTTAGCAAATTAGGTAGAGCAAAGGAAATCTCAAATAGATCTACACCTGAGGTCGTAAAAGCTCTAATTAATTACTTTTCATATTACGGTATTCCCTCTAGAATCAGCTCAGATCCAGGTACCGAGTTTAATAATGCTCTACTCAAAGAAATGTTGTCATTTTATAAAATTGAATTACATATTGGAACTCCGCATAATCCTAACTCCATGGGAATAATAGAGAGATTTCATTCTACATTAATAGAGTTATATAGATTAGCAAAATATGAACAAAAATTTACTGATGCTGCATCTATAATGACTTACGTAATAATGGCATATAATCAAACTATACATAGTACTACTGGTCTTACTCCACATGAAGTTGTGTTCGGACATACAGATTCGTCTAGTACCTTTGATGTTGACTTTAATAAACATTATACACAACAATTAGTCCAAGAACATGTTAAACGTACAAAATACCTATATAAATACTTAACAGATAGAATGATTCAACAAAAGGAAGTCACCAAATCTAAACGTGGTGGAGAACATACTTTTGATATACAAGTAGGGGATGACGTGTTTATAAAAGGTGTCAATACTAGACGTAGTAAAGATAAACCCCGCTACCAAAAGGCTCAAGTATCGGGAGAAATTGAGCGAAACATTGTCCCTGTAAAAACAAAGCAAAGGCAAACCAATGTGCCAATTAAAGATGTAAGACGTCCTCCACAGGTTCGTACCCGTCCTGATCCTGATCCCGGTGATCCCCGTCCAGGGCCTTCAACTCGTGAAGATTGAGAAAAATCCAGGGTTGCTTCCAATAAAAGAAGGTCAAGCCGTTATTAGTGTGGATAAGTGGACAATCATTAAAACCTTAGATTTATCTATTATAGCTAGTGAATTAGAATCTAGTATTATTAAATATAAGGAATTTAAAAATTATATTTCTAATTTTAAGTTTAACTATTCTATAGAATTTTGTTATAGTCAAGCGCAAGCTGAAGGAATGATGAAACTCACTAACGACAGATTCAAACAATTACTTCCAACTGAAATTAGCAGGCTAAAACGAGGACTAATAAATCCCTTAGGCTCACTCGTAAAATTTATAACCGGTAACCTAGATAATGACGATGCATTAAAATATGAAGAAATGATTACAGATATAAAAAACAAACAAGACTTAATTTCAAAAAAGGTAACTATTGTCTCCAAAATGGCGGGTATATTAGCTAATTTTACACGAGCTACTCAGAGTAATCTCATCCAATTACATGATGAAATAGCCCAAATTAACGAGGAAATAAAAAATATTAATATAGACAGATTGGAAAGTAAATTGATAAAAATACTTACTATATTCTTTAATAACTTTTTATCCATATTCATACAATTGGATGAAATTGAGACAGCCGTTGCATTTAGTCGTGTAAAGGTATTGCATCAGTCCATTATAGATAATAAGGAATTGTTGAATGTATTAAAGGAAATAGAAAAAACTGATAAACTTGTTTTTCCAGCAAAACTTCAAAATCTTGTTAAAATAGAGCCAACTATTGAATTACATGCTTATTTCAAGGAGAGACGAATAACGTTCATAATGCGTGTTCCTTTAATAGCGCCAGACATTTATAATTATTATAAAGTTTTACCCCTACCTGTACTGAATGTCTATAATATAACCACTCTTATCCCTCCTAAATATCCTTACCTACTCGTGAAAGAGGTTAAAACTCAATCACTTACTCACCCTTGTCAAGAAATTGATGAATCAATGTATCTATGCTACGAGGACGACATAACTTCACATATCGAAGATAACTGCGTTACCAGCCTTCTGAAATTTGAAACAAACTCTAGCACCTGTCATCCAATTGCCGTGGAAATCAATTCACTGCAGCTGAGATCAATATACGAAAATCGTTGGATAATCTACACCAATAAACCAGTAATTCTGAAAGAAACATGCAAAGGCGAAGTAACACGTCAAAATCTCTTCGGTACTTATTTACTGGAAATGGATGGAAAATGTCTAGTTACAATTCAAGATATTCAATTGAAAATTAGGCACACTAAAGAAACGGATATAAGGTTCCACAAATCAATTAAAATCAGCTTACCTGAATTACCACAACAGGCTCCTGCAGACGAAAAACCTATCAATTTAGATAACATAGACATGGAAAATCTACAACTTTTATCATACGCATTGAAGAAAAATAGTGAAAGTGAAATTATTGAAAGTGTTACAGTGAAAAGTGTTAGTATCTGGACTATTATCTTATATATTATTGTAATAATCTTAATTTCTGTATTAATGTTTGTTATAATTAAGAGTAAAAAATTTATTTTATGTAAAACTAATTTTGCTCGAAATCGTCCAAATTTAAAAGTTTTAGACAATTTCGAACTTAAGGAGGAAGGTGTTATGGGTGACCAATCACCATAATCTTAATTAAACTATTAATATCACTCGATAATTGAAATGTTTTGATATACATAAAACGTTCCCATATTTATCATGGCAACTAATGTATTTTTAAGCTAATTGACAATCAATATTATATCGACAGAAGCTGTCATTACTACTTAATTCTTAAAGTTAAACAATAAATTCCTGGTACGATCCCACGATTCCATTTAACATAAACATTAAAGCCATGCTTATAAAAATGAGGAACACAGGCCACCGAGCAGCATATTGTATCCAACCGCGGTTGGATCTGTTCATTAGGTTAAGTTTATTTAATAGTTTTCAGTATTAAATTATAAAAATAAAAATATTTTTTTTAATACTTTCCGAGACCGAAACTTGACTACATAGTGCGCTTTGGTAATAATAACAAAGACCATGTCGTCGGCGACGATCGCTCACGTTTCATTATAGTTTGGTTGGCGGTAAAGTATCATACTGAGTTAACATGGATAATTTTTTCCGGCAAAATTTGAAGTCTGTGTGTTTCGTAGCTTCAATTAAATATTCATATATATATTTTTTGTATTCTTATGAGTTTCCTATAAAATTTTAAAATATTGTAAAATAATTCATTACACTTATTTAATACATCTTTAAAGCAATTCTTATATTAATATCATGATAGTGATATTTTATATTGTTATGTATTTGGGGATATTGCCGATAATTTTGGAATAAGGTAAAATTTAAATAATTCTTGTATGTTTAAAGATGGACTATTATCTATTATCGTATAAAATTTTAGCAATATCTAGAATTGCAAGAGAATATTATTTAATGGATGTTGGATTTATGTATTTTATTTCTATGTTAGTCTTATTTGGAATACTTAGATAACTTGATCAGATCATTTTTGAAATCATTTATGATACCGGCAGAGTGACATAACTCTATCAAAGGTACCTTATTATGAAGCCGTATATATAATAATGTACTAGTATTTACAATTTTATTTTATATTGTGCCAAGCAAGTCGAGTTTGTTGATATAGCCTAATAATGAATATATTGAATTATAGCATTTGCAAATTGTACAATATACTCTCACTGATGGATTCTCTATTATAATCGAACTTTAGAAGCAATGATATATTAAACGAAGATACGCCACGTTCACACTAACTTGTGGTAATATCCGTGCACTCCAAAGCTGCGCACATCGAACGAAAGAGATGAAACATCCAGCCAGCACGTAATTGAAAGAGATATGCATAATTTACCTGACGCATAGAATAATATTTCTAATCGTAGAACCAACACTCGTCTGAAAATTATATACAGGCAAAAATGAAACATAAAAAGGAAAATAATATTAGTTGGATTGAAAAGCCGCTGTGGTTATATTTTTGTGATCTTCCAAATAAACCAAAAACAGAAGCCTTGCCCTTTAAAATTACTTTTTTATATAATATCATTCTTTTTGAAGTATTTGTCCAATCTCCAGCTTTTCTAACGACTTATATCTGCCTCGCATCAAAAGCAGCAAATAACGACGAATGTCTAGTACTATGAGCACTTATTACACTTTAATCGTGCTTGTATCTATACAACTTTTACCTAAAATCTAGCCAGATCAATGTCTCGGCAATTTAATTGTTATGTAATTTGTGATATTTCATAAAAGGGTAATTATCACTAGTAGGTAATTGTTATATCTTTATAAGATTATCACACTGTGCTGAGCTGTTTACAATTGCTTACCTTTTTACTCGAAAAGGTTTAGGAGTTATAATGTGACTCAAAGTTTATAATCTATGAGCTGATGAAAGTAATAGTTTTAAATGTAGTGTCTTGAAGATATTAATAAGAAAATAATAAGTTAAACATGACAATAGGTAGTATGACTAAATAATGGTGGCATAGTATTAGTATTTGCACACAGTAGAGAAAATTTACTTGTTCTCTTTTTATATATTTTATTTTTATTTTGTAATTAGTAAAAATAACAGAACTAATTTAGTCTTTTTCTTGTTTTTAGTTTAATAATGGCAAATTTCCTATGGTGGGTTTTTGCAGATTAAGTGACAGTTGTCACTAATGTTTTAATTATATTTCTTAAGAATATTAATTGCCAAAAGCTATTATGCAACTTGCTATTTGATTTTTGTACTTACAGATAGGTGAAATTTTCTGCGGATAGTTAGATATCGTTTTACGATACTCATGTTTCTTATATTTTCACATGCTTGACTACTAAATAAAAGCACTTAAAAAAAAAAAGGTTTATCGTACCTGGGGCCTAATTGTCTAAAAAAAAATCTTTCACGATCACTTTGAATTTGACATTTGAAAAACATTCGCGAACTTCACGCTAATAATTATTTGACGTGTGATCGCAATTGCGACCGCGACGTTTTTTTGAAAGATATTGAATGAACGATAACGTTCATTTGACGTAAATCGGAATTGTCTAAACAAAGTGACAGTTACAAATAACTTTGAAAGTTATTGGGAAATGTCAAACGAAAGAGGTGAGTACTAACTGCAATCTTTCGACAGTTTGAGGTAAGTTTTTATTATCTTTCTCAGTTAATTATAATATTTTGGTAAAGATAAACATTTAAAACCCATTGAAGCTCATAATTATTACTCTCCAAGTAACACAATCACTGATTATGGTGGGAAAAATAATACTTTTCTTAAAGGATAGCGTCGCTTAGAAAGACACAAAGTTTATATAAATACTATTTGAATATATATGTTTAATTCTAGTATGGCAAGAGCAATTTTATTCGCCGCGATAGAGGAGGAGCAGTTAAAACATCGCTCCCGCCTAGAAAGGAGACTGCTTCGGGAGGAAAGTCGCCCTTTTGAAATGCCAGAAACTCAATTTCGGCAGTTTTATAGACTTTCGAAAGGGCAGTTTCTACGCTTATGCGAATTTATTATACCACTTCTGACTATAGAAAAAAGAGTTACCGCAATAAAACCAGAAATAAAGGTAGGTAGGTACCTCTTTTTATTTACCTAAGGAAAGTTACACCACACGCAAGTGACGTGAGCTATAATTTATATGGTCAAACACATTTATATAGTTGATCTTTTCCTAATAACTTTAAAATTGGAAAAGAATGAAACACTTGGAAATTAATATTCAATTGCAGTGTAGCTTTGAAGGCACTATAGAAACTTATTATTATATTTGATTAATTTTGCATTCACATTTTATATTGGAAAATATTCTTAATGAGAAATGCTTATAAAATTCACCGGCCTCAGGTACCTATAATAATAATAATAATAATAATAAGCTTTATTTTTTCCACACAAAACATTCGCATTGTTACAGAAAAATAAGATAATTACAATACAATTTTTACAAATAATTTCAATTAAATAATATATATATGTATAATTACTAATTTCATATGTATTATGTATGATAGGTATTTAATATTCTAATTCAATAAATTCATTGATTGTTTTGTATGAACCCCCTTCGGGTAAAAGCCTCCTCCAAGGATTTCCATTTCTTTTTATCTTTAGCTGTAGTTAGCCAGTTTTGGCCTGTTGTTGCTAGTAGCTCGTCTGCCCACCTGGCACTTGGCCTCTGCTTCTCTTGCCTTGTGGTCCGCGCCATTTAACAGATCTAATAGTCCATCTGTCGTCGTTATATCTGGCAACATGACCTGCCCACCTCCACTTTCTTTGAAGTGAAAAAGTTAAGGCATCAGTTATTTTAGTCCTCTTTCGTATTTTCGTGTTTCTGATTCTATCTTTTAATTTGATTCCTAGTAAACTACGTTCCATTTTTCTCTGCGTATTTTGAATTTTGTTACTGGTTTTATGGTCGAAGATCCAGGTTTGGCATCCGTAAGTTAGGCATGGTAGTATTTCTGTGTCCATAACTATTTTCTTGATGTGCATTGGGAGCTGAGATTTGAATATGTCTTTGTGTGCCCAGTACTTACTCCATGAGATTGCTATTCTTCGGTTAACTTCCTCTATATTTCTATCTTTGTTGAAAGAGATTAGCTTACCAAGGTAGACATAGTTTTCAACATACTCGAGAGTATTGTTGTTTATTGTGATGGGTGTCTTATAATGATTAGTCAATACCTTAGTTTTATCGAAGTTTATTTCTAGACCAATTTCTATACTAACTTTGTGTAGGTCGTTTACCATATCATTTAGTTGTTGAGGGGTTTCTGAAAACAATACTATATCGTCGGCGAACCTGAGGTGACTTAGATAGTTTCCATTGATGTAGAGACCTCGCTTAGACCATGGTAAGTTTGCCATTATGTATTGGAGGACAGCTATGAATAGTTTTGGAGATAGCGGGTCACCCTGTTTCACGCCTCTCCTTATATTTATTTTTGTACCTGTTCTATCTAACTTGACTCTACTTGTGCTAATAGTATAGATGTTTTTAAGGATATTTATAAATTTTGTTCTTATATTAACTGCTTTCAGTGCTTCCCAAATGCTGTCGTGTGATATAGAGTCAAATGCTTTTTTGTAGTCGATGAAAGCTACATATAATGATCTGCGGAACTCTTTATATTTCTCGATCACCTGGTCGACTACTTGGATGTGGTCGACCGTGCTAAATCCGCCTCTAAATCCAGCCTGTTCAATTGGTTGGAACTCGTCTATGTCTCTAGATATTCTTTCAAGTAGACAAGAGGCAAATAGTTTGTAGAGACAAGGCATGAGACTTATAGGGCGATAGTTGCTTATATCTGCTGGGTTGCCTTTTTTATATAATAAGATAATTATTGATTCCGCCCATGATTGTGGCACAGTTTCCTCTTGTAATATCTTGTTCCATAGTATCGTGAGAGGTGTCAACAGTAGGTGTTTAGCGAGTTTAATGCATTCATTTGTGATTCCGTCTTGGCCAGGGCTTTTTTCTGATTTGAGCTTTTCTATTTGTTTCAGGATTTCAGGGCCTGTGAACTTTTCGGTTGGTGCGATATCTCTACGTTTATTGACGTTGCTTTCACGACACCATGAGTCCGGTTGTCTGTAAAGGTTTGCATAAAAAGACGTGGCTATGTTTATGATCTCCGTTCGGGATCTATATTTAGTAGAGCCCGACTGAAGAGATGGAATCCATATTTTTGATCTATGCAGTTCTTTATACCCTTTTTTAGATGATTTAGATTTTATAAGGTGATTCTGTAAAACGTTTAGTTTGTAGGTAGCATAGCATCTCTTTATTTCTTTATTTGTAGTTTAGAGGTTTATAGAGGTTTTTCAGGTTTTCTTTATCATTCTTATTTTTCTTAGATTTCTTTTCTAAAGCGTTTCTTTCTTTCATGAGCTGTAACGCTCGATCTGATAAGATTTTATATTTTTCCTTTCCTTTGATATTTTTGACATTTTTTAGGCTCTCATTTATAGCGTGTGTTATTTTTTGAGAATATTCATCTATGTTATAGTTTTCATGTATTGTCATAAGTTCAGGAATATAACTATTAAGGTTATTTAGGTACATTTCCTGCTCTTTCAACGTTTTCAGGGTAGTTGGTGTGTTAGAAAAATGTCTTCTGCTCTTTTTCATCGGTTCTAGATAAATCGAAGCTCGCAGCATTCTATGGTCTGATCCAAATCTGACTGATGACAATACTTCATATTTGGAAAACAGTTGAGGTTTCGTAGTCATAATATAATCAATCTCATTCTTTGTCTTTTTGTCTGGCGAAGTCCAGGTATATCTATTTTTATTTTTTAATTTAAACATTGTATTTACAATTTTTAGTTTATATTCGTTCGCATATTGAATGAGTCTTTCTCCTCGTACGCTTCTGTTTCCATATCCATATTTGCCAGTTACGAGGTATTCATGTTCTTTTGGGATTCCGATCTGTGCATTGAAGTCGCCCATAGATATTGTATGTTCCGTATCGATAGAGTCATGAGCTCTAGCCAGGTCTTCGTAAAAATTGTCTATATCTTGCTGCGATGAGCTTTCAGTGGGAGCATAAGCCTGAATTATTGCAAAAGGTAGGCCTCCAAGTACGATTTCCAATATGCAAACTCTCTCAGAAATTCCCATAAATGATTTGATGTTTTGTTTATATTTTTTCTTGACCAGAAAGCCCACCCCATATAGGCCCTTAGTATGTCCTATGTGATACAGGATATAATCATCATCTTCAATAATGTTTTCTCCCAATCGGCGGACTTCACATAATCCCAGTATATCATGGTTAATATATTGTAGCGCTGCTTTTAGCTCGATGTATTTTTCTGCTGAAGATAGTGTTTTAACGTTGAAAGTACAAATGTTTAGTTTATTTTTGTTTACTAACTTCCTTGGAGGGTTTTGGTCGAACTCTCCCGCGGTGACCGGCCGTGCTGGGAGATTAGATGAGGGTAGAGGGTCCAACTGTGATTGCTATCCTGAGTTTTGCTGAGTTGTCTTCATTTGATGTTGAGTGGTAGCGGAATTCTCGTAAAGTGGTTTCGGTTTTTGTAATATGAAAGCTTTCATATTGTTTGCTTTGTTTTTCTTCAATGGGTTTTTATTTATACGTTGACCCAATGGGGTGTTTGATTGAGAATTTTCTGGGGATTCAGACAAATTTCTTTTATTAAACTTAGTTTCAGAAGATTGCCTGTTATTGTTTATTACTATGAGTTTATCATATTTGATATATGCTGTGTTGCCTGTTTCTCTTTCTTTCTGTAACTGGGTTTGCAGTTCTCTGCGTTTCATTAGTATTTCGAGGGGGTAATCTTCTTTTATGTAGTACGAGGTATTCTCAAGATGCTTCTTATTTTTTTGAATTTTTAGTTTGAATCCCATTGTAGCAAATGTTATCACAATCGGTCTGACTTTCTCACTTTTCTTTCCTAATCTTCTAATCGCTTCGACATTGTTGCTGTCGCAAGGAATTTTTATATAGGTGTTTATTATTTTGATTACTGACTCTTCTAAATCATGGTATGAGCGCTCGTTCTCTTCCAGACCAAACAGAATTAAATTTTTGCGTCTATTATGTCTTTCTAAGTTTTTTATTTTTATATTTTGTTCCTCTATTTTTCTTTCTAAGTGTTCATTTTTTATTTCTAAAGCATTAAATTTTTCGTTTATGTTGTTGTTTATTGTGTTTTTAATATCTTCTTTTATATCTAGCATATCTTGTTTTTGTTGCTTTAGGTCTTGTTGCATGTTCACTAGCATTAGTTTTATTTCCTCCATTCTGTTCAAATAAATATGGATCAGCGACCTCTATGAGTTGTTTCGGGAACAAGTTGAGCTTCTAGAACAACTCGATACACACAACGCAATGATTTTCTATAAGTGACAGCGGCAGGTACTAGTAGTTGACGCTGAATTCATTAGATGGCGTTAGCTGTATTTGGGAGCTTGGAATAGTGAATGAAATCGAGACGGAACGATAGATGTCGCAGTAGGTGAAATTGTAGTTTACTTTGATTTAATAATGAGTCATCGGAATTTCACTTTTTGAAGGTTATGTCAGTAATTGTTTTCAGAATTATAACACTATTAGTCCTTGTTTAGAGTTCTTCAGTTTATAAGCACTTTCAACAATAGTATTCTTGAACTGTGATAGTCTTTTTAATGATTGTCACTGGTATTTTTCAAATAATTAGATGGAAGATAAATTGCACTTTTTCGCTGAAATCACTGTCAATTCACTAGGTTATTTTTGTTTACTATCCGAATCATGACACTTTTTATATGATTTAACACTTTTCTACACTATTTATGCACTTAGCTATTTTTAAAATTGAATTAATTCCGAGTACTAAGTTAACAGTGGCACTGTGGCGCCCTCTCAGGTACCTATAACCTTTAGCAAATACAAAATGTTTGTTCATTTAAACTTGAAATTATAATAATATATTATGTTATGGTATGTTTTGGAGGTCTATTTATTTATTTATACTTTATTGCCAAGTTAATGCAAATCATGTGGCGCATAACATAAATTTGTTTGGGTCGATGATACTAACAGATTCAGCCCCAAAAAGTGGTCCAGTCAAGGCCTAAATAATTTTCAAATAATTATATATATGACTTAACTTGTTGCTATTAATGGCCGTCTTTGAAAAACCCAAAAAGAATATGGGGAGTGGGGTTGTGGGTAGTAAAATTTTTTCATTGAAATTTGTCATGTTCGTGACAAAATAATTATAAAACACAATTACTTTTTTAGGCTTTCTACAGTTTGGTTAATAATGTATAAACATAATGTATTTATTTCTTTAGATATTAGCAGCCATTGCCTTCTATGCACATGGCTCCTACCAAAAGCAAGTTGGTGCCATGTACCATTTAGGATTATGCCAAACAGCTGTATGTTGCTGCATTCAGGAGGTGACTGTGGCTCTAAATGCTAATGATATTCTTGAAAAATTTATTAAATTTCCTTTTCGTATTGAAGAACGAGAAGAAGTAGCGCAGGGGTAAGCTTACATTTTATAAATCCTAGATATATTTTTTTTCATGTCTTACAATTTTCTCTTTACTACTTTGTACAGTATAAAACATGTAAAAATGAGTTGTCCTCAGATAATTATTCTTTAATTCCAGATTTATGAACAAGTATGCCTTCCCCGGTGTTGTGGGTTGTATAGATGGAACGCATATCGCCCTTATACGCCCATCACACCGTGAAGAAGATTATTACAATAGAAAGGCATACCACTCCTTAAATGTTATGATTGTAAGTTCAAATTACTCTTTGCATTATTTTTAAGTAGGCATGGAATATCCATTTTTATATAATATACTAAATCAATATTTTCATTTTTCCAGATTTGTGACTCTAATTTAACAATAAAACATGTGGATGCATCATTTGGGGGAGCAGCCCATGCCTCACATGTTTGGAATAACTCTGCAGTTAGGCGCTTCATGGAAAATAGGCATGCAGAGGGAGAATCCTTTTGGCTTTTGGGTATGCATAAACATATATTAATTATGTGCTTAAGTTATAAAAGTTTCATGTGATCTCATCTAGTTTAGTCAGGAATCCAACCCATATTTTATAGTATTTAAAAATAAAATATGGGTTGGATTCCTGACTAAAATGTACTGTAGTATTCTCCAGCTAAAGCACATTTTCTGGGCTTTAGCATATGTGACCCAGCTTTGCCGCTCTTATACCAAAGAATTTGGTAACTTTACTAGATTATTTAAGGGATATTGTATCTAACAAAAAGGTAAAACTGTCTTTTACTAAGATACCGCTATCCGTCCTTCTCTCACTAAGCTGTATTGAAACTTTCACAGATCATCCATTTTTGTAACTGTTTTACTATCATGTCTACTATCATGTTCTTACTATCATGTTTGTTGTATATATTATACAACAAACATGATTTTTTTGCTCGTTTCCAGGCTAAATGTTTGCCAAAAGTTTGGTAATAATAATTAATTCTTATTGTTATATTGTGCAGGTGATTCTGCATATGCCCAAAGGCCTTGGATGATGCAACCTATTTTACGTGCAGCACCTAACTCTGCAGAAGAATATTTCACAAATATGCACTGCAGAACTAGAAATGTCGTGGAGCGTTGCTTCGGTGTTTTGAAGACTCGATGGCGATGTTTATTAGCTCATCGAGTCTTACATTATTCACCGATCAAGGCTGGTACAATTGTGAATGCTTGTGTGGTGCTTCACAATTTTATAAATGATCCAACAATCTCAATTGGTAAGTGCTTAATGCAAGTTATTGTTTCTTATTTTTCACTCTGTACTGTACTTTTGAGAGTTTAACAATACAATTTTAAAATCCAGAACTTATTATCTTATTTTTAGTTTAAAATTTTTAATGAGACATTTCATTCAAACTTTGCTATTTTTAGACCAAGAAGAAATAAACATGGATCGATCTCTTCAGCCATCTCGAGAGCCAGAAAGAGGGCAAGATGTTAATGCCGATAACGGCAGGAGTGCCGTGGTGCATAGGCTGTGGCTCAGTCGCTCCAGTAGATAAAGGTAAATCACTTTTAAACTTTTTTTAGATTATTAGGCTTGTTTAAAATTTGAATAAACGAAAATTGTCATCTTTAACAAATTATTAACATTGAACTTCCTTTTTGTTACAGGTTGCAAACTGCGGCAAATTAAAATATTAAATGCATTACTTTAATTTGGTTTTCTTTATTGATAACATATCAACAGTCATATTTAACTAAGCAATCATCCCTCTTGTCTAGTTACAAATTAGGCAATATTCTGTAGCAATAATTAATAGAAGTTTATGCTTTAGTTTCAAGATATCCTATATTTATATTGTACAACAATTGTTTTAATAAAGAAGCAAAAAAGCTAATAGGCTATACATAAAAATACTTTTGTATGTATTTAACTTTGAATTTCCATTATTACAAACATTTCGCCAGTCTTGTATTAAGTTACCTTGGACCATGTGATGTGGCACAATATAACAAAAATAAAAATGTCAAGAAACTTAACACAAATAAAACATTTTACTTTTTATTTCCAAAACAAAAACATTAAGAACCCTGTCATGGAATTATAACATTAAAAGACAATATCTTTGGCAACAATCATATAAAGTTATTATTTTTAAAACAAACATCAATATAAAAGAACAAAAGCCTAACAGTATATTAATATTATTTTGTACTAACTAAATGATAACTAATTAAATTATGCATAGAGTTTAAATCACATCAATCATAAAAATCACAAAATATCAAAGGGGCCATCCATAAATCACGTCACACGTCAGGAGGAGGGGGGGGTCGACGAACTGTGACATTAGAACAATATTTAGTAGAATTTGTATAGACAAACATGTGACAGGAGAGGGGGGGGGGGGGTTATGGACGGCCCCAAACAGTAAAAATAATGCTTGATTCTTTATCTAATATAGAAATGCTAAGTGTCTTAAAAGCAAGATTATATCGGTAATCTTGCGTTAAGGACATTTAAAATTTTTTTTTGCACATCTAGCAACTCTTCGAGTGCCGCTGCTGTTCTTTCTTGGGCTACTATATGCCTCTCCTCCATTTCACATGCCCATGTAGGTATGTCGGGTATACGTCTGACATCTGAAATGAAATAAATGTGTTATGCAAATAATTATCAATCTTAAATTTGTTGGTTTTTTTTTTAATAAGTTTAGTTACGGGCTTTCATAAAAAAGAAAGCTGAGTGGGGGTAAGATAGGGAAGTAATCTATATTACTTCACATTGCTTTCCCATATGGCGGAACAAACAAAAGAAGAGAGCTTAATTCAATCAAAAATTGAAATTATAAATAATTATAACATTCGATTACAATAAATAAGCAGAGACTTTTTAGTGAGTAATTAAAGACACTCTTGAAATTACATGATTGTAAATATAAAGTACTTCTTCATTATTTAAAAACAACTCGCCTTATTCTATCAAATTCTTTTATTTTAATTCCTTCATCTTTTAGTTGTAAAGAAAGTTAAAAGAAGAGGTGTGAATTTTGGCTTTGTTCTATTGAGAAAATTTGCCATAATCGTAGTTTGTCTTTCAATTTAATTGTTAATTATATGTTTAATAAATATATATCCTAAATGAAATAGCTAAATTTAATCATTAAGAATTTAAAAACATTTCTTGAATTATCCCCTTACGCAATCAAAAGTTATTTACATGGACGTGATGATGTAACTTGTGGGGTTAAAACCGCCGGAGCTGGAGTTGTCGTGGTCGAATCTGTCGTGATCGGAGTCGTCGTGACTGGAGTCGCCGTGACTGGAGTCGCCGGAGCAGGAACTTGGAGTGAAACCATCGGGGAAAAAACTGCTGATTGTAAAACTCTATCTTCTGGCAATGGCGTAAGATGTTCATCAGTGTTAATAATTTCTTCTTCACCTATTACAAATGCTGACCCAGCACTGTTTTCATAATTTGATACTGCAAGCAAAATTAATAAAAAAATGTTAAAAACTGCTAAATGGGCATCGGTCTACACTCAGTCTAGAATTGTATAGATGCATAGTACGTAACTCAAATTCACATGATGGACACATGCTTTTATGTAAAGAAAAACTGAGTAAAAAGGCGATAGTCTGGTATTATCGGGATGATTCTAGAACCTGAGGTTGGTATATGAGAAGATGTGGAGATGACTTCAGACTGACTTTTGGTCTAGGGCCCTTTTGGCCGAGAGTAGCTGTAGACCACAGTCAGTAAGCAAAGGGATATATGGATGTATAGAAATTGTAAAAGTTTGGAAATTAGAAAGGCTTTATTATCATTAATAAAGTTCCTCCTACCTTCCTGGCTGCTGCGGACAGCTGGTGGCATATTTTCAAATTCCTGAAAAGTCACAATATTCATGAAAATATTTCTTATATTTTTGTTGATGAGCATATCATCATAAAGAAATATTTAATAATTATATCCTAATATTGGCAAATTGTTGCCTGAACAAATAAAACTGTTTTTCTTTAATATTCAAATTGCTGAATAATTATGAAATAATTCAAAAAAATGTTCCAATGTTGTCTTATAATCAATACATATACTTACTGGAAAAGGGATCCGCACAGACTTTTCACCGAATATGCTTTCATTCCCTAATATAGCCATTATGCGACTTTCTTCAGTAGTTAAATGGCCACCCTCAAAGGCTGGACCACCTCCAGTACCAGTCATGTGACGCCGAATTTTTGTAGCTTTTGCTCGTACTTTATATTTTATGTTGTTCCAGTACTATACATTAAAAAAAACTTATGAAACCCTAGGTATATTGAGTTATAATTCTATTTGACAATTACATTAAAATGAAAGTAAGCAACAAAACATGATGATTTACCCCCGGTTTCAATAATATACCGACAACCATCGGTAGCAGCTACCGACCGTTTTTTGAGCTACCGACAACCATTCGTTTTTGCGTTTCACAATCATCGGTAGGCGCCTACCAACTACGAACGGTTGTCGGTAGCTCATTTTTTTAAAATGTAATCATATAATTCGAGGAAAGGGGTTCTTTCCATACAGCCTTGTCTTAGGTAATATTATGATTATACTGAAATGTTAGTCTTTACATTTAATAATATCTTGGACAAAATCGAAATCGTAAGAAGGAAGACAGAGACATCAATAGGAAAGAGGTGAACTGATTACGTACCGAAACTAAATCTGAAATTTGTTTTGGAATTATTATGACTTATTTATTATATAGTTAGGTTCTTAAAAGTGGTGTTATTGTGAAACAAATTATCGTCTGAAATGGAATTCTGATGTAAACAAAAGAGTTACCATTACTACAAATAGCTTAAATTTATCTCTTTAAAAGTTTTTAGTAATTTTTTTATTTAAACTAAAAATTCTTTTTTTTTAGATAAAAATAGGATAGAAATATTTTATGCTGCAGGCAAGAAACAGCGATTCGGAACATTTGGCTCATTGAATTAAAACTTTTTTTTATTTAGTTTGATTTATCGTAAAAATATTTATAAATAACACGTTTTCCCTTGTTAATTAAAAGAAAAGTAACAGTTTTTCATTAAAAAAATAATATTGTAGAAGAATTTAATATGTTTTGTAGTTCAGATTAGAAGAATTTAAGTTGTAATCATGTCAATGTTTGTACCTTAAAGGGCTCTTACTACCAATTAATTATTGGTCCAGATGCTTTCTACAATAACATAATGATTTACCTTTTGAAAAACATAATGATTTACCTCTATATAATTATGAAAAACCTGGTTCTGATGTAACTGAATTTGCCATCTACTTGTACCAAACTTATACACGTTACATTAGTTTATACCCTTTATTTTTTATTAAACACTGATATTGATTTAATTCTTAATAAAACCCAATTTGGATATAACTTATTTATTTTACAAATAAAAAACAATTCATAAAAATCTACATAATTTTTACATTATTCCATTGCATTTTTCTACGTTTGTTATACGATTTGACACAATCATTCCACTTTTTCTAATAACCATTCATTTATCATCCTATGTCAATGGATCACAATTGTTCACTGTCAAATTCATTAATCTTATCTTGCAAAATCAAGTTTTTCAACAGAAACATATTGTAGAAAGCATCTGGAGCAATGATTTATTGGTAGTATGAGCCCTTAAAGGTACAAACATTGGCATGATTACAACTTAAATACTTCTAATTGGAACCACAAAACACATCAAACTCTTCTACAATATTAATTTTTTAATGAAAAACTGTTATTTTTCTATTAGTTAACAAGGAAAAACATGTAATTTATAAATATTTTTACGATAACCGAGGGAAAATGGCCGGTAGGCAAATTTGACAGATAAGCTACGGATAGTAAGTTTGACAGCTCTACCGAAAGATATTGAAACACCTGTTTGCGCCATTTTCATACATTTTGCCTACGAACGGTTATCAGTATCAGATCAATCCGTTAGTAGCACACCGTCGGTAGCTTTACCTACCAATGGTATGTTATTGAAACACTTTTTTGCTACCATCGGTAGGAAATGCTACGGATGGTAGCAAAAACGGATAGTTTTTTGGTTATTGAAACCGGGGGTTAATCACATGCATGTTGATGCTGTGATATAATTTATTGCCAACATCCTCAAAAACCTTATTTTGAAATTTTTTCAATTAATCATTTGTTGTTTATTATATTTGACCAATATTTTTAATATAAATATTTATGTTAAAGAAAATTTAAAAATAAATCTGCTAATTAATTTTATGTTTGATTATAAAAAGTTCTTTTGAACATTATGTATTTTAGGTAGATGATGATAGAGAACTCGAAAACACATTTAACTATCTAAGTTTAACTATCTAAGTTTAACTATCTACTTACAACTTTCCATTCTTTGGCACTTTTCGTAGAACCACTCCCGCAACAATTTAATTTCTCCGTAAGGCGTTCCCAAATTTGTGAATTATTTTGTTTGCCTAACGGACCGCCTTGTTGTGATACATGCCCTTTTGCTAGGTTTTTATTGGCTTCTAAGAAACCTATCAAAATTTCGGTCTGTCGAGCGGAAATTTTCCTGTGAGCAGGCATTCTGTAAATATAAAAAGGAGTTATGATCTTAATTTTGTTTGGTAAACCGTTTTATGTAAACAATTTATTTGATAGAATGTACTTACTCGATTGCTTTTGTAGTAACAACTTTTTGTAGTAACAATTTACCAATAATATAGGTACCTCAAAGTTTCTTCTTTTAAATGAGGCTCAGTCAAACAAAATTGAAACTTAGTTTAACAAACTTTCCTGACAGTTGATGAGCAGCTGTCAAATAAAAATGCGCGTGGTGCGTTTTGTTAGTACGATATAATTATATATGTTTATATTTTTTGTTGAAATAAAACATTCAGTTTGTCAAAAGTATGAAATGATTTAATATTTTATTAGTATTAGATAAATATATATATTTTTAATCGATATAGGACATTGATTACAACCCCACAAAATCGTAAAAAAATATTTGACAATGTAGGAACAACAAAACGGAATGAATTGTCTATGACATTCAACATCATTCAAATCGTCATTCGTTCCGAAAGCAATTGTGACTTTAAAAGTTACACAATTCCATAAATCCCTTTCACAACCGCTATACGATTGAAAGTGATTGTGATCGATTTAAAAATTAGACAATTAGGCCACTGTATTGTTGAAAAAAATATTTATTACAACAATAATCTTAACATAATTATGCAAGTTTGCCATATAGCCAAATATTATATTATAAACACATAATATTTGTGTAAATGTATGTACCAATTTGCTGAAGGAAATCTGTTTACCTAGGTAGATGTATTTTTCTACGTACTCAATAGGGAAGTTATTTACCATCATGGGTGTCATACGATGGTTTGTCATAACTTTCGTTTCACTCCACTCAGAGAAGAATGGAGAGAAGCTACTTGAGTATCAAATTAAAAGATACATAAAGTGCGAAATACAGCCATCCGCAAAAAAACGGGTATAACAGATGCACTTACCTATTCTCTCCAAAGAAAGTGGAACTGGGCAGGTCACGCGGCGAGGTACGCTGATAATAGGTGGACACTAAAAGTTATAAAATGGACGGGACCACGAGGTACCAGAGCAAGAGGCAGACCTAATGCCAGATGGGCTGACGAGATTGTGGCTACGGCGGGTCGTGGGTGGCTTGAAATAGCTAAAGATAGAGAAGAATGGAAAGCTTTGGAGGAGGCTTTTACCCTAAGGGGGTCCATACAAATGTAGTAAAATATTATTTAATTTAATTTGATTTATTTAATTTAATTTATTTAACTTAATTTATTTAATTTAATTTATTTAATTTGATTTATTTAATTTAGTTTATCTATCTAAATTTAATTCATTGTAAGTTATTAGAAAAAGAAAAAAAAAGTGTTGTACTGTATGCTATTGATGTTATCTATTTGTATGGAATCAAATAAAGCTTAATTAATATTATTATTATTATGTACTAATTTAAATATTAAATAGTGTATAAGTGAAATACCTCTACGAGGGCCCTGTTTAGGTTTCTAAGTTTAGGGTAAAGACCTTTGTTACCACATGATGCAATAATTAATATCTTTATCTTTACTACATGATACATGTTTAGATAATTTGTAGTTTCTCAGTACATCAATATTGATGAAGTAGGCATATAGTCGATGACCTCTTTGTCTATCCACAAAGGCCGTTAGGACAGATATCTCTAAAAGATGGATCAACATACAAGGGGAATCTTAATTTTTTTTTATCCGTTGGTTCATAATTATCTAGATAGCTACGGATTATGTTTTTAATTCAGATAGGTATATAGTTAAATGTAAATTTTAGTTTTAATCGATCACTATAACAAAGTTTGTGAAATAGAGGTACGCACTCAATAACATCGTTGTTTCTTACTAAATGGTAATTATATTCTTTCATATTGTTTTTCCTCCGAAGGCGTGCACTCGATTAAATTAATCACTTTTTTTTTAACTTTTCCAAACACAATTTCTTTTTAATCATTATCAATATTACTAGATCGCTTTCTTTTATTCGTATTATTAAATGTTTTTACTCACAAGTTATTGAAGAGGAAAAAGTATGTGGTTTCAATTTGTTTTCTTCCATAATGGCTAAAAAATTTGCATGTAATTTGCATGTAACAAATGAGCCTTTCCGCCTAGCCTGGATTGCATGGAGTAGTTTTTCGCGGCGTCAGCACCAATTGTTTATTACAGCGAGCTGTTCTATCTTATTTACCCACTGGCATGAAAAAATATCCGAAACTTCGGGGTCGAACATAGGAATAATATCTGCTTTTGCTCATACATTATCAAAATAGTATGGTTGGATCTTACTTGTACTTTGTGTCCCTGAAGAACTAGCCTGATTACCAAAAGGAACCTCTGCTACGTTTTCGGCAGGTTGGCTTATTGCATCATCTTCTGGATCGTGAGAACGCCATGGCCTCCACTGTTGCGTCACGGCTTACGAGTAGGTCTTCAACTTCGAACGTTTCGGAGATAGGACGGCGAAAACGTTTCGGCATCGTGGACTATCCCACTTCTGAAAATTGTTGAAAACAGTAGGGTAGAGTTGTATAATTAAAACCACAAACAGTATTTAACTTGTATGTATTGAAATCGCAGCCTTTAAATAATAAAAGGACACTCTCAATCCTTATTTTTAATCGATAATAGTCAAAAGCATTTCATGAGACACAAATCAAAACAATATGTCTTTAATTCGAATTTATTCGCAAACTTTAAAGAAGCAATGATAAAATAACATAATTAAACTTTATTTTAATTTAAACAGATCAAACCACTTAACACAATTATATCAGTACTTATCCTTTTTACTCGGCAAGCCACTCAACAAACAAAACTGAGTAGTAGTATTATAATTCGTCCATGGGACAGGTGAAGGAACTAAGCCATACAGCCAAATCTTGGGTTATATTATTTTATAAGGCAAAGCCTAATCTTTTCTTTTTGTTTGCATTTTATTCCATCTTGTCTTGTTTATTTTTTTTTTTTAAAAGGCTGATAGCCAGATCTTTAGTTTTAAATTTCTTTGTCTTGTCCAGGGTTATCATTTTACATATCCGGGAGGGTCAAATCAGATTTCTCCAAGAGTGGAGCTAATATAGTCATAGATCGGTACAAAGTTTTCTGGGCAAGCTAAGAGATCCTGAAGGGAAGGCGGGATAGTCTTGTATCTTTTCAGGAGGTGATGGATCAAAACGAGTCGCTGGATATTGTAGGTTGGGCATGAAAAAAAGATGTGTTCAAGTGTCTGGTTTTCTTGAGTTGAACATTCGGTGCATACTGGAGATGTTATCATATGCATACGATGTAAGTGAGCTTTAAATCGACAATGTCCAAATCTCAATCTATTTATTTGAGTGTAGAATTTCCTCTGGAGGTAGTCATTGGATATAGCGAACCAAGGTTTTCTGCCAACTTCTTTATTGATACCAGCATACCATGCACCTTTTGTAGTAGTGACAAGTATTCTTTCTGCTGTCCATTGCTCGTAGATTTTTTTACGGTATTCCGGTACGACATCTTGCCAAGGACAAGAGATGTTTTTAATATCGCCACCCAGTAAATTCGTTAATCTGGCAAGATGGTCAACATTTTCATTGCCTGCCACACCAACATGTGCTGGAGTCCAAAGAAACTTTACAATTTTATTGTTGTCAGATAATTTTTGAATAACTTCTTTAATTTCGAACAATATATAATTAGCATTCTGTAGTTTAAAATTATCAAGTGCTTTGAGAACGGACATACTATCGGAAACTATTAAAAACTTGCTTTTGTTGGAGCACATGATATCCATTTGAACATATCTGAGAGCCAACAGAATTGCAGTGGCTTCAGCCGAAAACACGCTGAAAATAACTGGCAGTCTATGTCCTTTGCCGTACTTAACATTTTTGTGGTAATAAGCAGCTGATACTCCAGAGTCATTTTTTGAGCCATCTGTATAAATTGTTTCATAACCTAGCCATTCTGATAACTTTTCATATACAGCTTCTTTTGTTTGTAAGTTGTTATCTATATTTATTTCTAATTGTGGGAATTTCCCTTCATAGGAACCTTTATAACAAGCCCAGTGTTCATTTCTATTTATGTTTGTTTCTAAAATATATGCTGATATTTCACAGAAATCATGAAGAATATATGGGAATTTACAATGAGTATTTACAAATGTTAATGATGAAAAAGACTCACTTAGACGAATCAGTTTATCTACTAAAGGGTGATTATTTATACTGTGGATTTTAAGGATGAATTTAAATTTTAAATATTTGAATCTTAAAAGATAATGAAGAAATATTGCACTCTACTTGCATAGATATAATAGGAGTTGTATTCATTGCTCCTGTGATAAGTCTTAAATTTTTATTTTGAATCTTCTCTAATTTATGAACAAGAAAATGGTCACATGTGTAGCATAGAAAGCTATATTCAAAATGAGAACGGACAATGGATTTATACAACATAAGTAAGATTTTTGGATCAGCACCCCAATATGTCCGAGCTAAGGACTTTAAGATGTTAAAAGCTCTTAGTGATTTGTCTACTAAGCCAGCTACATGTTTATTCCATGATAAGTTCTTAGTGAATATGACACCGAGGAACTTAGCCTCATTACTTACGGGAAGTGGATTGCCATCATATATGATATTGGTTAGTAAAATTTTCTTTTTGCTAAATACTACAACATTGGTTTTAGTTAAATTAATATCCAATTTCAGATATGTAAAATATGATTTTAATTTTTGTAATGCATAGTTAAGTTTTTTCTCCACTTGAAACATATTTGTGCCAGTACAGTACACTGTGAGATCATCAGCATATTGCAAATTATTTACATCATTTCCTAATATACTATTTAACTTATGTATATACAGAATAAATAACAATGGGCTGAGTATCCCACCTTGGCAAACTCCTTTATTAGACATTTGTGGTCCAAACAAATTATTTTGAAATTTAACATAGACTTCCCTACTGTTTAAAAAATTAAATATCCATTTCACTAATTTCACAGGT